AAATTTAATTCAATTAAATATCGATATATATAAAGTAGACAATGCGTGAACGACATAATTGTAAGAAACGCAAATTACAATCTTGCAAATTATTGTGTTAAGATTGCGCAAGCTACTTAAGAAGGAGTTTTTAGGAGAAAATTCCCTTTTTTGTAAAAAAGGGAATTGAAGGAACTGTTAAGTCCTTTAATGTAAGAGACTTAACAGTTCCTTTAATTCCCTTTTAACTACTAGCTCCATTAAGATTACGCACGTCATTCGGTTTTGTACATAGGATATACAATGCGTCTTAACGATGATACGTTATGAAATTTTAAAAGGATAGTTCGCTATTTCGCGCGTGATTATAAACGTCAAGGAGGATTTCGAGAGAAAACCGAACAACCTCTCTCGTCGATCTAATCTTTTACGTACTGCGTCAGCTTTTTTTACGAGTTACGAACTTTCCCGTTCAAAAGTGTCCGTTAATCGCAAAATGCATGACGACGACGATGTAAAATACATATAAATTTATAATATATTAATATACATTGTAAAATTTCGACTCGCATCATTGTAGATCCTGTCGTAGCTCGACAGGTGTTGTAACTACTGGCGACTGTCGCGCGTCGCTCCATTAAATAAACGCCGCGTATGCGCAAAACTATTTAGGATTTAATGATGCGGAGGCATACCATAGTGTGAACTTTCAAACGCCTGATAATTCTCGACTTTCATTCAAATGTGCGGCTGAAACAAAACGTGGATTTAATCGCGCCGCATTCGTGACCAAACCGCAATTCGTTACCGTCGCCGCTTGCTCTCCCCCCTTTTAGGGTAAACACGAGGTCAGTTCGTTTCGTAAGCTGCATTCGGTATGCGTTCGCTAGTGCATTCGCCAATTTGCTTGAAATCTGCCTGAATTTCAGGTGACCGTCGGAATCGTACCGGAACGATTAACGAAAATTTCGATTCCGCTTCCTTTTCCATCTAGATCCAACGACAATAAATCGCGGCACTATAACTAGATCATTTCGATAAGCGGCAGGTTCTTTTTTAAACGACGAAGTCTAATCCCCAAAGCGCCGTGCATTAGAATAATCCTGAAATATTTTAGCGAAGAAATATGGAGTTGACAGAATTATAAGAATTTTGCCGCTGGCGAAACGTGAAAAATGCATTCACATATGTGCATGGCATTACTTCCTACCCGATAAGAGACATCATGTATGTCAGAGCGGTATCGAGGAAGCCAGAAATTTAACTTGATGTGCTGATTTCGCCATTTTCTAGCGACGGACGTAGCGCGAAGCGCGTGCGGAAATGTAAATTATAACAGAACCGAGATGAGAGAACAACAAAATTGGAAAAAAATCTGTTTGCTTAACGATCTCACTCTATTACTAGCGCAAATAGGGTCGTTACAACATATTACAATGCAAAAGAGAATCTTAAACATATTACATTTTCGTTTAGTATATCCCGCACATGTTAGTTTCCTAAACAAAATCTAATGTTTTATAATCGTTAAGTATCAATAAGAAACGTTTTAATACAAAATCATACAGAATGTTTTAGAAACCATAGTTTAAACAATAGTTTTAAACGTTTAAGAAACGTATTTTTTAAGTTTGTACATAAAGATAATCATAATTCTATTATATAAACATGAAAAAGCTTTATTTTTTAAGTTCAAATTCTTTTATATAAACAGAGTGCACACATAATACATCCTGTATGGGAAAAGGTTTCTAGATTTATGTTTCTTTAATTTATGTTTGTTTGATTTATGTTTCTTTGATTCCTAATCGTTTTTTAACTTTAATTCAATTTATTAAATAAATTTATTAAATAAATTCTTCACCTTGTGTCCAGGCACAGCCTTTAGGCGTTCTCATTATTAACATTATATTATATTGTTTTAAATATACAAATCTTATATTAATATTAATATTATTATATTAATTAATAATAATTAGCGTCAGCTAATATTAATTAATATTATTAATATTCATTGTATATCAAAATTTTTTGTTGCATTGTTTTTAATATTTACCAGTTAATATATCATTACAAGATGTTTTAACATTTTAAAGATGTGTTCCAGACAAGTACAGGTAAGAATAAGGAAGCGTCAGAGTCATCACTCGTCCATTCGATCATCAAAGTCAAGCAACGTGGGCGCAGTACTACACTCGGATGGAAGTGACCACTGACTTGAGAGAGCGATTTTTTTCGGGTGGACGCGCGGATGTAAAAAGAACCAGTTAAAAAAGCGTTTTTTTTAGCTATTTCTTTGTTTGTTTAAACGTTTCTTTGTCGAAAAAGAAACGTTTTTTTGAACGTTTATCGAGTGGACATTTTAACTCATAAAAAACATTTCTAGAAACTGGTTATGAAACGTTTCGAACAAACATTTTTGAAAAGTTTCTGAAACGAATATGTGCTACCAGTGGGCCTATTCTGTAACTCTAAACGACAGTTTCGTTATTGTTATAATGTCGTTGCACAGCTTTTCTACGATACATAATATCTGCGTAATATAACGATAACCAAACTGTCGTTAAGAGAGTTACAGAATCGGCCCACTGGGATATTTACACGAATTAATGTGCGAGAGGTCTCTCTAGAAAATCGACAAAGTAAGATCTGAATTACTCGTATTGAAATTATTCTACCTCTGAAATGCGCGAAATATGCATTTCGCTAGTTTATACTGTCTTTTTTTTTCTTTTAAGCAGCTTTTATCGGGCGCGAGCCTGTGTAACCGAATAACGAGACAAGAACCGATCACTGTCATTAAATTTCAAAGCGCAACGTGAGCGAGCATTACGAAGAGTATTTCGTATGCGCTAGAAGCACCGCAAACTGTTGGAACGCGTATGGTAGTTAGGTTGCGCTGCCAGAAGATATTCAAAGCTGTTTCGAGGCGAGGCATCTGACAGCGGTTTCGGCTTGTCGCCAGAAGACCGTGCGACATTGTCGCGCAGACGGAGAATTTGCGAGCTGTATGTACATAGATTAGGAGAAGTTTGAAAGGCTTAGGCCAGGACGCTGGATTCTTAAAGGCTTAAAAATCATAAATCCAAGATTTATCGAGCGTTTTCTATCCTCAAGTGCGAGATAAATTATTTATCTCACGCCTCATCGGTATGTTGATGCCGTCCTCGCGGTATTTCTCCCTCCCATCCATCCCTCCTATGTCTTACATTATGCAAATCCTTACAGTGTTTCCTTATATCGCGCATTATACGGCATTCTCGTGATAACGTCAAAATAATCGCGCGCGAAGCCCTTGCATATCTTATCATATGCCTCGCATAAACGCGTTATAATATATAATGTTCCGCACAAACGTGGAACTATTTTTTCATGGATTACAATAGTAAACTCATGAGGAACGAGTTTCAAACGATATTTTCGCGTGGTCAATTACCTAATGAGATTTCATCTCAATAATGGCCGAGAAGCCTGATTACCGTAGGAACAATGTGATTTAATCACCAGCGTAGAAAAATTGATAAAAGTTTGCTGATTACAGGTACATATAATCGATGATCAAACTTCTGTAATATGTCTATGCAGATTTGACCAGCAAAAGAGGAAGTAATACCTTTGAAATTATCACTGCCTTTGTGAGCTTAACGTCGCTCATGTAACGAGGTACCCAGTGACGTCAATCGCCATCATCTAGCATCTCTCAATTTTTCGGCGGACGGTACGCGCGTACCAATTGTAAAGCGCTTAAGCGATAGCGGGAAGACGAGTGCGGGCGGCAGACAAGAGGTCTCTGTGCTGCCAATAAACTATAAATTTCAGCTGAAAGCCCCGAGAATCCCGGCGCAATGTGTTAGTGACAACTGAGAGGGTCTGAGAAATTTGCGCGGACTTTAATTCTCGCTTTTGTCTCCGCTTCTTCTAATTTAATGTGTATTCGACGGAATCCTATTAACGTCTCGTCTATCTTGCCAGTAAGTAAAACAAACAAAATAAAGTACCGTACGTAAATTTTAAAAGGGATTTTACGTATATAGCTAACCGGCCTATCGCTGTGTGATGACTTTGTAGTCTGTATCCGTGTCGCGATGCTGCTTCAATCGGCTTTGTTAGTTGACGAAATATAGAATACTAGCTTGATACACCCGTGCTTCGCTACGGCATACGAAGGATTCTATAATTCATTTCCAAATTTAGATTTGCCCTTTTAGGGGTTGATTCGGACAAAATCTTGAATTATGTTCTTAAGCACTTGTATATATGGGTAACCTTTGTAAGCAAAAACCAAGTCGATATCTCAACGGGCCCAAGAAATATTGAGGAATCCGCGAAAACACGTTTTACCTCTTTTCACCCCGTTAGGGGTCGAATTTCTAAAAATCCCTTCTTAGTGAGTGCTTACGTCATGGAAGGAATATACTCATCGAATTTCATGAGTTTGGGCTTGGCGTTGATGAGTCAGTCGGAACATTTGATTATATATATATATATATAGATAGAATGAATGCAAGTAACCGATATTTTTCAATATTTGCCAGAAAAAATATTTATGCGGAATAACGATAAGCTGCTGATTCATTGATTTGTATATAGTCAAATTGCGTTGTTTTAATAATTTCTTGCTACTGGGATTCAAAACAGAATTAAATAAATAAAATTTCAGGAACCGCACAGTCCTGTATCAGTAATCGGACACGGAAATCAATTCTATGAACAAAAACGGTAATGATGCGGAAGTGCGGAATTGTTTCAAACAGAATCAGCGTTCATTTGTCTTGCATTAATTTGCCTTTCCATTGTATAATTTTTATCTCGGACTTGTTGTACACCGTTAGCATTCAACTTATTAAAACCTAACGTTTTGTGTAAGGAGAGCTCCTAATTGTATTATTTAATTGTATTACTTAATAAATTGTGTTGTTTAATTATCGTTAAAATACGTTTAAAAGTAAGTACTTTCTTACGTGCTAAATACTAAATTGTTGTAACAATATTTTGTTAGCTAGCTTTATTAGTTAACTCACCCTGGTATCATTGTAAATAAGCCGCAGGCGAAAGCGCTTTAAGATATTCAATTCGTTGACACGCTGGACCGCCAATTTGGCCGCTTGAAGCTCGCTGGCTCCTTCCGGTCTCGGCATTGTCCCATGCGTCATCTCAAAAAGACCGAGGATAGTTATATTTATCTTCTCTATCGGTCTCGCACTCGATATCGCTACGTCGAACTCCGTCCTGCTGTCGGAATCGTTCTTCTCGTGTGTCACGTTCTCGAACTCACTGTCCGCGATGTTCGAAGTCACCGCAAGTTTTTCGTCGGAGCCGGACTGGACCTCCGACAAATGTCCTTCCGGTACGTCAGTACTGGGTGACCACGATTCGTCATAGGGATCATTCCGCTTCGCGTCCATCTCCGTCGTCTCCTCGCTTCTATTGTCCGCCTCGTCCGCCTCGTCGTCAGAATCGTCGTTCGTCTTGCGATGAAGCACGTCTCGGCTGGGACTCTTCGGTAGGTCAGGTAGCATGGTACTCGAGTACCATGTAGATGTTTCCTCGAGTACGTCCTCCTTATGCGGGCCGAAGTGTCGCCTGTCAAATTTTTCGACCTGCGACGGCACCGACGGCGACTTGTGATTGATTTTTACGGGAAATTTCTGAGAACCTTCGAAACCGGTGAAAGGCGCCTCGCTGTCGATGTCGATATCGGTATCGTTGCCAGGCGCCGTCGATATTTCGCCTACGCGCGTAAAACGATCCCCGTCCTCGTACTCTCGAGCCTCGTTGGATTCCTCCGCTTTGCCGAACTTCTTTATTCTAATTACCGACGGGTCGTCGTCGCCCGACTCGGAGCACGCGACGTTACGACAGCTCGCAGGGCGGATTTCCGCTCCACCGAGATCCGAGGGGCGGTCGACCCCCGAGTCGATGGCGACGGTCCGATTCTCGATTTCCGAAATTCCGTCGAGTTCGACCTGGTTCTCCATTGAGACGGTGCCGACGGTGTCGAAGTCATCGACAACTGCATCAATCGCGATTGCATTGACGTCCGAGTCGTTCGCGTTCACGTTCGCGAACTCATTACGAACATCACTTATTACGATACCGTCGCTCTCCTGAAGCCGCTCGGCCGATCGATCATCGCTTCGATCATCAAGCGCGTGGATATTGCGACGGCTCAAATGAGTTTGCCTCGCGACCCAGAAGCCGGCAATCCCGCTCCGTTCGCTCCGATCATCCGCGAAATCGTCGCGGTGCTCCGCCGCAACGTCAATATCGCGCTCGCTCCGCTTCGGTCGGCTTAAGGCCCTGCGACTCCCGTGCGAACTTCGATGGGCCGAATAACCGTTCGTGCGTTCATTCGTACGAGCAGTTTCGGCGAATAAATTATCGGCGTTTAGACCCGCTCGCACCGCTTCGAAACTGACTCCATTACGATCTCGTCGGTGCCCCGTCGGTCGCATCGGATGACTAACACTCGAAGCCGCGCGCGAATGCCACCGATCGATCGGGACCTCTATTAATGCGTCCTCGGCATCGCGATCGTGAACGGAGATCCCGGGTAGATTGCCGGCACTTTGGCGTGGTCCATCTAAAATTGTCGGGCTCGCTTCATTATCACTGTCGCGAAATTGGACTTCATTCACAGCCTGATTCACCGCGTAACGAGAAGTAACTTGAAGATTTTTTGGCACACCACGTTGCTTCATGACCAGACTGCGCAACCAATTGTTCCCAATTTCTTCACGCTGCTTTATACTTGGAAAGAGGATTGCTTTGCGAACTTGTTGAGTTTTCGCGGGATCACTTAATCGACCGTCAGACTTCCGTCGCGGATAATTGCTCGCGGTTTCAGAATGCACTTGAACGCCGCGTTGACCGTCAACACATCCATCGCGGTCACTCCGAGTTTTCAGCAAATCACTGAAATGATCGTCACTGGCCACATCGCTAGCACTTTGACCAGCCATGCTTGAAGCTTCGTTTTCGCGTTGCATCCATTCCGGGATCGCTTTGGGAGCGTCGAGGTCTCTCCGCTCCGTGTATCTCCGTGCTTCAAGGTAACGGGGAAGCGCGCTCAGGTCACGGCTCTGGAGCCTCGTCTTCTCGTCGCACGACAAGGCTGTGCGGAGAGAGGTAAGGCCGAGAAGGAGAAGGGTCAGGCAGTGACGTGCCTGGAGGGCTTCGGAGGAAGAGAACAACAGGAGGAGACGAGAGAAATGCCACCGCGTGCGGACGCGCGTCATAATCAGTCGTCGATTCTGTGACGACTCGAGGCGCTCTTCCGGTTCCTCCTCATCTGCAAAGAAAAAAGGAGATCGTGCCGTGAGACTGAGTCCGCGACGCAAGATATGTGTCAAATCGATAACGCGCGTTATTACGTACCTATCACATATATTACAAAGTAAGTTGTAAGCGTAATTGAAAATAAAAGTCTTTTCGCGGACAATCGATGTTTATCAAGCTTGATTTTCACGCAATCTTAGTTGTTCTTAAAGTTTATTTAACGTAAATTCATTTAACGTAATATTTAATAATACACTGTTAAATGTTAAAGGATAAAATTTAAACCAATAAATTGAGTTAAATAACATTTCGGTTTTTAACTATTGTGTGTTTCAAAACTCATTATTTTAACTCCATTAATTTAGTTAAATTAACATTGTTTTAGTTAAATTAACGACCTATTGAATAGAAGCAGTGGCGATTTATAGAAATGGCTAAAAATGATTCAAATTGAGTATAATTCGGCACTACGAATTTAACAGTGTATAAATAAATCATTTTTTTTGCAAGTATTTCTTTTACATGTCATCGAACATCGAACGCATTAGGCTTATTGTTAGATGGCAGACGTTTTTTCGTATATACACGGAATCGATATTGAACTCGATAGATTTTATTACGTTCTTCTTCCCCATCTCCGAGATCGAAAAAGTACTCGCGGATAAATCAGATAACTCGCCGTGCAGCGGTACAGGCAAGTAACTCGCAAAACTATTTGAGCCTTTCGTTATTTATAGGCGGAAAGTTTATTCACTTGTGTTACAGATCCCGCTCTCCACTCAGCAGCAAAAGCTTTCGTACATTTCGCGTAAGGAAGAGTTCCGTTGTTTTTTTGCAACAAAAATACATTCGCATTCACAAATGTACGCATTTAAATGTAAAATATACTTCTAAGACCCGTTTTTGTGATAAGGGGAGTGTACAATACGCTCTAATTATAAATTACGACAATTATCAAGATACAGCGATCGTAACAAAGCTCGCCCGTGTAATTGGAAAATAAAGTAATCTGCTAATGGAAATATTCATACGTAAATTCCCGACCGGCTAACCCGATATCAACGCCGCCCGCACCGGGCCGATTTTACACTTGGAAGATTCGATGTTCTCAATTCCAAATATAATAGGCTTACGGGAATGAAATAATTTCATTAAATTGGCAAGCAAGCACAAATGAAATTCAGATGGAGGTATTACGTCGTAGGATACATAACTGCGACACTGTATTACATTTACGAGCCACTTTGGGGCTTCTCTTTAATTACGCTAAGAATTTAAAGCTCACCCCCCTCGTATCAGAGCTCGTTAATCTCATTTTCTTTTTTGCATGGATCTTACTTGCGTACGAAACGAGCGGCAATATGTGGACTTAATAGTTACCATATATACATTTTATTTCTCGGAATTGCACGAATGAAACTTGTTTGCATTAAGCATTAAAACCAATTAAAATGTCAGTTATTATTGTTAACGCATAATATCGTAACGCATAATTTGTAACAATATTTATAACATCTGACTTGTTATTAAATAAGAAGTATAGAACCGGCGAACAATAGAACCTGCGCAATATCCAACAATATCGAAGGGTATTTGAAAATATACCGCGAGATATAAGATTGCGAAAGAAAAGCGGTCAGACTAAGCTGCCGCAGTAATTTGATTTCCATCGACAGGTAACGGGGTCTCAAACGAGATTAGAGAATTAAGTCTTCGAACGCGTTTTATCCACGTTATTATTGCGCGGTCGAGAAATTTATAAAGTTCGTAGGGACAATCTGGAAAGATACCTGTGCTCATTGCACGAATACAAATCGCAAGAAGACCAACATCTTTCACAATTACGGCAAGCCGATGCTCGCGCAGGTAAATGTCCAGCGGCATTTACCGCTCCTTTGTCGCAGTCGAAAGATCCATTAAGATGTAATATAGTTATACGGTAGTATCGTGCGCCAGTAACGTTGTTAGCTTCAAACTTTGTTATGAAGGCGAACAAAATGTTTCAAAGCGCGGCTGCCGATCCCGTCCTTTTCTTCTTTTTACATCGGGAGAAACGGAAAAGGAGTTTCGGCGGAGTTACAGCGTGTTAGCACGAATCCGATATTACGTCTTGTAATTGTGTTGCGCTATACTTTTCTCATTTCGATTTGGAATTACAAGATTTTGAGAACAACGGCGTTTGACTCCCACCGAAAAAGTGAGCCGCTCGTTTGGCAAAACATACGTTTCTCTGAAACTGAAAAACTTGGTCGCGTAATCTGCTTAATGCCGGCGCAATGTGGGAACAAGCCACGGTACGAGAAAAACGTAGCTCAACGGGCTCGCTAACTTTTCACTCGGGGCAATGAAATTGTTGACCTCGCTTAAATGTTTTAAATACACATTATACAACTGGACAATGGTGGATACAACAATAAGCTAACAGGGCAAATACAATTAATTTGACGCATATGTTATTATTGCCTCTGACAATCTATTGCTCTTGTAATTTTTGCTATAAAATAATTTTTTTAAGATATAATAAAAAAACATAAATAAAAATTAAATAATTAAATTATACTCAAATAAACTGATCTCTCTCTCTTTCTCTTCAACAATGCAATCTATCACACCGTTTTTATTAGATTTCCATTACGATTAGCTAACATTGTATGTACATATATGTATAAAATATCTAAAAGCTCGACACATATACTGCACGTCAGATTTCAAATGAAGTTAATATGAGCCAGTGACAGCTAACAAAAAGAATGATAAATGGTCGTCGGAAATTCCGGGAGGAAAGGAGAAGAATATATTTCTCCTATAAATATACATTTTTCTATTTACAATCGGTCATTAACTTGTATATTGCACGAGCCTTTTCTATTCTTCTCTCTAATTCAAAATACAAAGTTTTTTAATAGAAAGTTAAACACTTACTTTTAAAAAGAAATTTAAACTTATACCGAGTCTTAGAACAATAATAATTAATCTAAGATAGCGTATACGGAGGTCTACCGTGACAGTAAGTGTCTCAATCGTGCGTACTCACTTTTTAAATTGTTTACACGTAAATCCGTTTTAACACCCTCCACTGTAACAAATGCAACTTTATTTAGTTGTTATTAATCAGGCGCTATTAATCATAATCTATACCCTCTTCCGGTCTTTCTTCTCAATCTTATAAATCATTTTATATTTATAAGGCACAATTCTATGTCATTATTTCCTCCCCGTCTCGGCCAGGAATACTATTTTACTCGCTGCAATAAAATTGATTTTATTTCGACGTTCTCCCGCGACGAGCGATGGGGGTGGCACCGATACCCCTCTACGTACTTGACAGAAGAGCGGAAGAGGCGAAGTCTCGCGAAGGGGTAGATATCCGTCGAACCTGACCTACCGTAAATTGCGGTCGTTCCACGTATGTCTCGGTAAAGGGTGGGCGGGTGATTCAATTCGAATGGAGAGACGGTGAGTGATGTGTTATATGTAGAACGGATAGTTCCGGTATTTCCTATACCGGAACTGTCGTCCCATACCCGGAAGTCGGGGATACGTGAGGTCTGTCTGATCAAGAAATGTCTCGGATGCCTCGTGGTGTCCGTGGCAACGATGTCACGAAGTCGAAAATAGTTTCAGATACCATCGCGATATTTTGAAAAATTGTTTGGCAAATTATTTTCAAGTCGCTAAACTTTGGAGAAGTTACCGTCGCATCGTCGTGAACTTGATTGTTATAAATCGTGATTATTCTTATGAGTCAGAGGGGGGTTATCAAATCTGAAAGACTATTTCTGAAGAAATCTAAGTAGAAATTTAATAAATAAATTATTACGGAGAGTTTGCTATCTCTGGTATCCTGGTATCCAGAGTCCCTAGAGGAATTTCTTCGAAATTATGTGTGGGACGTGAATATCGGCTTCTCGAACACCTACTCGCTTTGAAAACTTGCTGTAATAAACTGGATCGATCAAATAAGCTATTAAATTAAATATTCATTACAATATATTAATTATACATTTTATAATTAGACAAAATATTATATCTCAATGTACGATTATATCTCAAAGCACGCGTTTTTTCATGTTTTTTTGTACGTTAAGAAGAAATTTCATCTAATTTGCCACTAACATTCGTCTTGTTAAAATACTTAGCTTCTATAATATTGTTTTCTACACATATTGTTTCTCTTACGACAAAATATTCCGAGAGCAATACAAAAGATAATGGAGGTAACCAAGCAACTAAAAGAAGGAGAAAATACAAAGAAAAGCCGCATGAGAAAAGATTAGAAGGCTGAGGAGATCCAGATCTTTAAGTAACCTGCAGAGAACTCCGTTCTCCTTAACGGTAATAAAAAAAACATTTCAGAAAATTACTTTTTGTTAAGCCGTTAACGGCGGATTGAGGTAAACGTAGAAAAGATTCTGTCCGTTTTATCTGTCAGTGTTAAAAGAGATGTGACTTTCGTAATGTATATCGATTACACTTTCAACTTATATTCTGACAAGTTGGTTTATTTTTAACTAATTGATTGATCAAATAAAAAATCTGATTTTATAATCAGATATAGTAAATTGTAACTTTTGATGCTGAAACTGTCAGTCAATTTTATTATTTAAATTGAAACCGCGACACGGACGTGACACGATGTTTAATGCGGAACATTTGATAGATTGATGTGTTATCTCTAAACTTCTCGATAGACAAATGCGACGTGTCCCAACATCTCTATAGAAGCAGTAGGCAAATTCGACAGGTGAGATTAAATTCGAGCTTACGGAAACGCTTCCATCCCAAAATTAGTTATATAATTACTTAGGTCGTGGATTACAAGTTAAAACAGTTCTCAATTTCTTCCGTATAATGAGCGCTATTTTGCGAGCTGATCGACATTTGTTTCGACGTACGCTTAAATAATTTAAATTCGGATTAGTAATAGAATAATTTCGTACTAATATATCAAAGACTGCCGATAAAAAGTTTACCGCGCCTCCGTCCGATTTGCAACTTTCAATATATTGGCATCTTAATGACATAACATAATTGAATCGTTATTTACGAACAGCTAACTAATTAATTAATATAAATTACATGCCAATAATACCAGCGACGTGCGATACCAGCCTTCGTTCGAGAAAATGGGAAGACACTGGCGCGGGCGGCAAACTGCTGCCGAGGAAATCCACGAAAACGTTACATTGGATTTCAACGGTTATCTCACACTGCTACGTGAGCGCCAAAGTTTTTAGCGTAGTTTGTTTCAAAATACTGGAAGATATTGAGTTTCTCGACGTCGACGCGGGATCATGCCAGCAGAAGTTTCCGGTGAAGCGCGCGCGTTTTCTCACGCACGGAAACACCGAAGCTGTAAGCGAAAATCTGAGAAAGACGTATGGTCCTCAAGTTCGTTGACGGTTTTAATTTTCCGCCGAAGGAAAATTGGCTGAGCTAAAGAGAAAATGATTTCAGGCGCCTAGGCGAAATTTGCATAAGATGCATATTTTTTTACCAATAGATTACGTGTCAAATGTCAATAATTCCGCGTTATTATAATAAATGAGCTGAGAAAGTTACGTAAATTCGTTTGGGAAGTTACGGTCATCAAGTTGACGTGTTTCTTTCGCCGACAAAATTGCGCTATTACATTTTCAAATTAAATTATTTTTTACGTAATTTCTCTACCTATAATTATAATTATCATTTTATACGCGTCGCGTTGAAATACGTTTAAAATATTAATATAAATAATTTGCTAATTGCTGAAACTGCGATATAAAGTTGCAATTGCCATCGAGCTGTTCTTATGTATAAACTGGCGATCGTTTAGCATCGTTGATTGCACAAACGAAATGGAACGCGTTGTCGTCGGGAAATATCTGTCGATATCCATTGAAAAACGCCTTTCGATAAACGGATTTCAGAGACAGAAAGGCTCGCGTTAAATACCGAGTGTTTATCGCTCGCTCGCGGATAAAATCACGATTCCTCAAAGTTGTTAACGTCGGCGTTTCGACCGCTTTAAGGTGCGCGCCTGAAAGGGTGAAGCAAAGCGGATAAGCACACGAATTACCGTAAAGTTGTGCGGCATTCCTCTCCCGGCCACATTTCTCTCGCGCACGGTTTCACCAGAAATTGATTCCGGGGCGATCTGTTTGCTAACTTTCACAGGCGGGCTCCTTGCCGATTATTTCCGTTATCTCGTTCGAGCTCGGCCGAGCTTGTCGTTTTTAACGTGCAGCAAGGATTTGCATTAATCTCGACGGCCCTCCTCAGCCGTTTCGAGAAAGTGTTTCGCTGAAACTCTTCATTATGGCCAGTCCAATTTGTGTATCGCACGACGCATCCAATTTACGCACTGGACGACGGGGACGTCCAATCGAGGCTTCCGCCCTTTGATCCCACAGGATCGCCCTAACTGATTGTCCCCCCCACGGTAGCGATTGTATTTCAGGATTATCTCGACACTCGCCGGCTGGTATCGTAACTAAATATTTTCGGAGCACACTCGTGTAGATCAAGATTGTTCCGAACGATTAAAACAACGCAATCAACAGCTGGACCCTCGTGGCCGGCGGTACGACGTCGTCGAATAAATGTTTGAAGATGGTATCAGTATTTCGAGTGTGACGAATCTTTCATGAGCCTTTAATTGCCTCGTGTTCGCGGGTCGCGTTACTCGCTCTCTTCGCAGCTATCAAATTCTCAGTGGAATTAACAATCGTTTCAGTCCCGGCAAAGTGGCTCGTATTGCACTGGCGATACTGTTTTCGGAAAAGTTAATACGGAGCCGCAATCCCCCGCGCTCAATTTGGCGAGTAAATTAACGGAACGACGCATCGCGTCCCTAGAGCTTGTTTTAAACATGACGCATGTGCTTTCGTCTATATATTACTAGCTATATTTATTGCTTTTTTTTTTCTTTCTTTCCCTCTTTCTCTCTGTCTTTCGGCCGAGACGGCCAACGTGATGACGCGGGTGATACGGCGCTCGACTTTTATTTTTTCCACAACGAACGTGCGTGATGCTTTCTCGGGGAGTGTTCGCGTATGCTGACGGATGGTCTCTCGGTATACCGCTCCTGCTCAGAGCGATGCACCGCGAAGGAGCAACCGCGTCGCGTGGTGGCGGTCCGCGCACTGTTGCCCCGTAATATTCGCCAACCCTTGTCTGCCAGGAGGAGTTTTAGCGGCGGTATCGGCTAACGCGCAGCCGCCCGTGCTTCCTACGCTCTCGAGGCTCTCGAGTACACAAGAGGAAGCCCGCTCCTCCCCTCTCCCCCTTTCAGATCTCGGCTTCCCGCAAGGGCGCGAGATTCTCACGTAGATCCTAGATCCCCTTTTCAATCTCCCTCACGAAGCGCGTGGTCCCCGACGTCGGACATTATGACACTCGAACATTCGGTAACACATATGCGCGTCACTCGACGCTCTTCACGCGAGAAAGTTTCTTTCAGTAGACCGCAAATAATTTTTTTTTCCCCACCGTCCTTTATATCTTCGGAGAGCCGGCAGCTGGACATCATATTCCGGGGCGAGTTTGTATATTCTGGGAAGAGAGGATGAATTATTAATTGACGTGATTAATTCTGTGCTATAGGATTTTGAACCGTAATATAGTGACGTTAACAATTCATAGAGTTACATATAATAATAATTACTCTCCACGTTTAGATATCACCGTTCAAAATTACAAGGCTGCATAAAATAATGATTGTTACCTTCATTAGAAGAATTCCAATTTGTCACGCGTTTGTACGCTTTTATAATCATTAGAAACTATTAAAACTTGAACCCTCATCTTCACCATTTTCTCCTTAATTAATGAGCCAATTTCTTAATCAATGTCCAGGAGCGAACAAAGTGAACAGGGCTGTATCAGGGATGTAAAGAACATCGTTTGCTATTCGGTGAAAGCTTTCTCGATATTTTCGCGTTCAAAGGATGACTCCCTAAACGTCCCGATGGAACTCCTCAATTACCACGGCCGCCTTGAAAGCTTTCCTTCTTAATCTCACGGCGATTAAGTTCTCGGCACAGTTATTCGCGTAATGAGAAGTGACCCACCCCCGCGAAAGTTCCGGATGGCAGGTCGGAACGGTTTAGGTCTGTAGGTCGCGCCGTGGACGAAGATCCCATCGGGAAAGTAATAAACCTTATTACTCCTCGACTACCTTCAAATTGTTCGTGACAATAAAGTATGTTGATCGACGCTTTATGTACGCACACGACAGTTTTCACGACAGTTTATATACGCATCCATATCGCTGTTTGAGTTCGCGTAAACCCCGTTTGGAGTTTGAAGGACGATAAGAGCGCGCCAGGGTCTCGTTGCAAGTTTCCCTGCAAGTTTCGCGCTCACTTTATTTTGCCAATAATTTACTCTCTCGCAGCGAGAGTAAAGGAGTCGCGCCCCTCCCCCTCTCTCCTCCCCTCGACGGAGATGCATTCGTCTAATCTCTCAGAAATGAGCCGTGGGAGCTGGATTGTTCTCTTCCCACTTTATTCGCAGCCATACTTTCCGCTAAGTGAAGTTTTGAATTGACCCAGGACGACACAAACAACGGACTTCCCGTCGATTGTTCTTAAAGAGAGTTGTGCTGCAATCAACGAGGATGCAGTTCCTCTTGTTTAATGAGTAAACGAAACCGACGTGCCGAAATGTTGTAAGGCGTTTTAACCTTTCGGATGACCTTTCGGATTCGGACATGTTATATCTCTCTATATGGCGACTCAATTAATATCCTGAGAGGAATAGTAATTTTTGTGTGCAAATCGTTATAGTTTTACATTTCAGAGGATTCTGAAGTAAGATGAAGACCGTGAGAAACAGAACAGAGGTAAGATTTATTTTTTTCAGAAAATAAAAACAAGCAAATAATATTATGCTGAAACAACTGTAATCCAACGTTTACGCGACAATTCTCCGCGACCTAGCGTTTAAATTGAAATTTAATGTATACAAAGTTCGCGTTTGGTTTAGAATGCAAAATGTAATTGTGTACGCAAATTAAGACGAATCTCGAGCGTGAATTTAATCGAATAAATTTACTTTACAAAAAAAAACAATTATCACGTCATTCTTAAAGAAACCAATGTTTCCACCAGCGGCATTATGGCACGCGTTACGGCATGGCATACTATCAACAAAATCGCACTTAATTCCTATATTAATAAGATTATAAATTGCAATTTAGCGTCCATCTTTCGCTCAACATAATGCACTGCGTGATTCGGACGACAGTGAGAAAGCGTGTGGCTTTATAATGGCCGTCCGCGTATAGAACTTCGTCTTTGTTGCCTGCGATATCGGCTTTTCTCGAATGAAATGTGCAGTTCCCGAAATGGACTAGGTAATTCAAAAAGGACCGAAAAATAAAATTCTCAAGAACGTCACGAAAAGAGCAGCGCAACGCGTAAAATACTCGCGAGATCTCTTCCATTTAAGAACTTAATTATCGAATCGATTTGATCGCCGCGAAGATCTTCATGGTCTTTTCCAGATAAACGCCGTTAGATTCTTATCCGCGACGATTAAATAGCGCATTTAAGTCACGCGCCACGTTAAGTATTGTATATACATATATTGTTTTCGGATCTCTTAGGATTTTGTTAGCTAACCGATGGAATCGATTCTGCCCCCACATTCTACAGTCCACCTTCGATCACGGGTGGTACTCAACAGAGAGTGTAAGGGCACGTAAATGTGCCGTCCGGCTCCCTTAATTGGATTCGCCGGTGTTTCTAAATCTTACGAGGCAGCGGCTAAAATATGTCAAGTGCAATTATATGAGGACGAATTCCCCGGAGTCCTCTCTTCGCGTCCTTGGACGCGCTGCCGCCCGCGCCGTCTCGGACCAAGAGAGGAAGATCGATCGAGTTTAACGTTTCTGTTTTGCTCCCGACTGACCATATAAAGCGATTACGTTGGCCCCTTCCAGGAGAGGGCAGGGCAAAGATTACAGGAGACGGCCGGTTCATCGGATAATACCCTTTGTGTTTCTGAACTTGCAGGAGTTCAATTTGCTGGGTACGCTTCCGGGCGGCCATGCAGATAGCCCGCACGTGTGTCCCGATCCTTATATAACGAACTGACGATGGAACCGATTATTCATAACGCCGCCGGATGACACAAAATAGGTCGAATTATTCAGCAGTCGCACTCAGCGGGTTGGAAATACCCCGAATGTAAATCGTTTCCCCGCTGGAATTTTATCTGTAGATTAAGCACGCACCCATTCGCAGCTTTAATATATCTGCGGAGATGCATTAATCAATTTAACGCAATGTATGTGAAAATGTTATTATTATCGAGGACGTAAATCGCGTCTCCTAAGAGATGTAAAAACTAAAAAAAACTTTACTATATATTTGCTATTTAAGTATCTGGCAGACTGTACATGCATCTACGTGTAGATTCGCTTTAAATTTAAAATCTTCTTTTGAGGGTTAAAAGCTGCTTCGATAGAGTGAAAAATATCGATACAATATATAGTTGACAGAATAATAGTAAGATGCGATACAACAGTAGCCCCGTTTAAATTAATTCACTATGTCCAGTTTCAAGTTAACCCGGACTACCTGATTGCATCGAATCTCAATAGCGAAACAGCGAAATTCCCCGGACGGTATATATCATTCGGTGAGTTTGCGCTAGATGCCAAGAATATCATTTCCCGTTATGCTCGGAAACACCTAATGCCTTCGTCGATCGTTTATCGCCTCGTTGTGGGCGCGATAAGACGGTGGACGATCTGCGCGCGGTATACATGCAAATGCGCCCATTGAATGAATTGATTACGTAACTGGAGATACACAGTTAGATACATTTGGTATCAGTTCTCGGTGGCTATTAAAACTTATTACACGTCTGATATTTGTATTAGACGATATATGGAAGCGTAGATAATACTCTAATAAAAGCCGAAAAAGAAGAATAGTGAAATTAAATGAAATTTAATCAAGTTTTCAATTTAAAAATTAAACTGTAAGTGATATCTATACGTAGAGATTTTTATATTCTTCCACCGGCTTTTGAACAGAAATATTTCTGAAAGAGAATCCAAAGAAAACCTCGCAAGACGTATTTTTGAATTAGGTATCCTATTGTTGGTTGCGGAAGTGAAGGATTCGCCGGCGCCGGTTCTTTCTTCTTACATTTTATATTCTCACACAATTGTAAATTCAATGTGAATAAAGCGTCCTTCTTCAGCGTATTGCGAGATTTCAAGATACAGAAATGTAGGCTTTACATCACAGTTTAAAAATCGACATCCGAGGAATAAATCATTCTTGCTTTATTCGTCAATTTTTACTACTTGAATTCTGAATAAAATCACGGACCTGTCAAAACTCTGGGAACAATTCTCACAAAAAGCTCTTATGAGATAATCTGTTTTTATTATAGTTATCGTTTCTTCTGTACTTAATTTAAATTTTCCATTGACGTCTATATTCAAACAATATTTACTTGTCGCAGCACAAACGAAAATGCAAAAATCGCTATCCTTTGTAAAAAAGAGTATCACGTCTCTTTGATACAATAGCAATTTGGGTACGAGGTAATCCCATGAGAGATTTTAAACAAGATTACATGATGACAAACTCCCGAAAGTGCTCTTCATTTTTATAAAAATTCATCAAATTGTATACAACACATCCTGCTATATTTTATTATCTCAATTATCCTGATTATAAATACTGGAGTTTTAAATTAAACGTTTATTATTGAAGAACGTGACTCATCACTTTAATGGATGGTAGCTCCGATGTTGGCGATAAAAAACACGAAAGGACAAATTAGCGTTGAAACAAAATGAGAGCCACAAGCGTAGATATGAATTAAAACAAAATTTTGAAAATAAACAATTACCAACTAACATAATTTAAAGAATTGTCAATCTCTTGTTGAAAATTGAAAATTACTTTTTTCTGCACCAAAATTCAATTAAACGTCGCATTTCCCAGAACCTCTCTTACGCTTAAACATCTGCAGTAGCTAGCAACTACGTTTCAAAAGTCAACTGTTATATATTTACTTGAAATTAGTTGAAGAGTTTTTGTTATTTATTTGCTCATCTCTTTTCCCCTGCGGACACGTGAGCAATTTGTCAAGAACTTCTTTTTTCTGTT